CTCCCCCCCCCCCCCCCGGCGCGGCGCGGCGCGCCATCTTCTCGAGGAGCACGGCGACGACGACGTTGATGAGGACGACGGAGTGGAGCAGGATGAAGGACACGAAGAAGAGCGCCGTCGACATCGGGAACCAGCCCTCGAGGAGCGGCCGGCCGATGGCCTCGGCCCAGGAGTCGCCCGTGAGGACCTGGAAGAGCGTGAAGAGCGACTTGCCAAAGGTGCCGAAGTACTCGTGGCCCCACTCGTTGCCGCGCGGCGTGTAGTAGGTCCCCGCGCCGTCGACCTGCTTCTCGTGGTGCGCGAGCCACTCGCCGCGCGCGCCCGGCGGCACGTCGCCGATGAGGCCCGTGCCGTCGAAGTTGTCGACCCAGAACCGCGTCGCGCCTGCGCCGGAGACGGCCGGTGGAACGCGCCGTCCGGCGGACGCTTCGCGCCTCTCGAGCTCGGTCGCATCGACGTCGTGTCGGCCGACGTGTCGACGGATCGCGTCCTCTCGGCGGGTCCTTTCTCGACGGTGGAGCGGCGACGGCGAACCCGCGCGACCGCGCGCGCGTCGCAGTACGACGTCCGTGCCCCGCGCGGCGTCGCGCCGCCCGTCGCGTTCGCCCACGCGACGAGGCCGCGCTGGGCGTCGAGCTTCGTCGCGCCGCTCTCGAAGTGGAAGACGCCGTCCCGGCCCTCAGCCTGGAAGAAGTCGACGGCGAGGATCGCGTAGATGCACATGGTGATGAGCATGATGAGGAACGCGTTCGCGACGCCCGGCACGGCGCGCGCGAGGCTCTCCAAAATCTTCCGCAGCGACTTGACGCGCTTGAAGAGGCGGAAGACGCGGAGCGCGCGGACCATGCGGAGCATGCCGAGCGGGCCCGGCAGCTCGATGCCGACCTCGGTGATCCACCCGACGGCGACGGTGATGAAGTCGAAGACGTTCCAGCCGTCGCCCCAGAAGAGCCAGAACCAGTGCGCGTACATGTTCCAGCACAGCTCGACCTGCGCGGTCGGGCGGGCGATCGGCGCGGGGGGGGGGGGGGGGGGGCCCCCCCCTCCCGGCCCGCGGCGCGCGGGGCGCCCCCCCGCCCCCGGGGCGCCCGCC